GTAGTTTCAAGAGTTTAGAGATGACGAACATGAAACTGTCTTTATGGGGAACAATAATGTTTGTCCTCACAATGTCTAAGTTAGACCAGATCCAAGAGTGGGTCCTAGATTCAGGTTGTTCCTTCTATATGAGCCCAAATAAGGAGTGGTTTCAAGAGTTTAGAGATGACGAACATGAGACTGTCTTTATGGGGAATAATAATGCTTGTAAGGTTAGAGGAATAGGTAACATAACCTTAAAACTGGAAGATGGTAAACTGATAATGCTGTCTAAGGTTAGGTTCATTCCTGAACTAAAAAGAAACCTAATATCCCTAGGAACTTTAGATGAAGTTGGCTATTGTTATAAGGCAGAAAATGGTTGCATCAATATATACAGGAATAACAACATAGTGCTGAGAGGTCTAAAACGAAATGGCTTGTATATTTTGTGTGGAAACTATTAATGTGATAGGAACAATAGTGCACTGATTTCATCAGAATTAAGTGTGACACAAAAATGGCATATGAGGTTAGGACACATGAGTCAAAAAGCCCTAAACATCTTAGGTCAACAGGGACTGTTTGATAGAGACAATATAACACCTTTGGAATTTTGTGAAACATGTGTGCTAGGTAAGCAACATAGGGGCAGTTTCACAAAAGGAGTTCACCTAGCTATAAACTGCCTATATTACCTTCATGCTGACTTATGGGGACCTGAACAGGTTAGGTCCCATGGAAGGAATAGCTACTTTCTCTGCATAGTGGATGATTTTAGTAAAAAAGTCTGGGTATACCTTCCAAAATCAAAAGATGAGGCCCTTACTAAATTCAAAAGTTGGAAATTGTTAGTGGAAAACCAAATTGATAGGAAGGTGAAGGCTCTTAGAACAGGCAATGGGTTGGAATTCTGTAATGTAGAATTTGATAAGTTCTGTAATGACCAGGGAATCCTAAGACATAGGACTATAAGGAGAACCCCTCAGCAAAATGGAGTCGTTGATAGAATGAATGGAACCCTCTTGGAAAAGGTGAGATGTCTCCTGTTTACATCTGGACTACCTAAATCCTTCTGGGGAGAAGCCCTAACAACTGCAACATACCTAATAAACATAAGCCCTTTAACTACTATAGAGTTTAAATGCCCAGAATCAAAGTGGTCAGGGAAAGAACTAAGCCTAAGTCATCTAAGGGTATTCGGATGTGCAGCTTATGCACACACTAGTGATGGGAAGTTAGAACCTAGGTCTATAAGGTATGTATTCCTAGGATACCAAGAAGGGACCAAGGATTATAGGCTGTGGGATAGAGATACACTAGGGGTTAAGGTCATTATTAGTAGAGATGTAGTGTTTAACGAGAATGTTTTTCCATGTAAGTCTACTAATAGGGCTGGAATTGATCCAAATGACAATGCCCATGGTCAAAATCAACCAGATGTTACTCCAATTGAGGTGGAGCCAACACCATAGCAAACTGAACCATCTCACCAGGGTTTAGAACCTGAACCAGAAGCAGATTCACTCCACATGACCCTATACAAGCTGAAGATATAAAAGAGCCCTAACAAGAAGATCTATCCCATTACCAACTGGCAAGGGACATATCTAGAAGGGAAATTAGAACCCCCTGCTAGGTTTTCATATGCAGACTTAATCTACACAGCTTTGCTTGTGGTACAGAAGTCCAGAGATCTGAACCAGGAACATATGATGAGGCCATAAGATCCAAAGAGAAAGAGAAATGGAAATCAGCAATAGAGGAGGAGATGTAGTCCCTAAAGGTAAATGGCACATGGTCCCTAAACCCAAAGACCATAAACTTGTGGAATGCAAATGGCTATTTAAACTCAAAGAAGGTATGTCTCATACTGATCCCCCTAGGTATAAAGCCCATTTGGTGGCTAAAGGCTATACACAGAGGGCAGGTATAGACTTTAATGAGATTTTTTCACCGGTTGTTAAATTTTAAATGATTAGGCTAATGCTTTCTATAGTAGCTCACCATGACTTAGAAGTAGGGCAATTAGATGTCAAAACGGCATTCTTACATAGTGAGTTAGAGGAGAAAATTTATATGACTCAACCTATGGGATTCATTGATAATAACCTGCCCAATCATGTTTGTATGTTGCATAAATCACTATATGGCCTTAAACAATCACCTAGGCAATGGTATAAAAGGTTTGACACCTTTTATATTGAGCATTGGTTTCTCTAGGAGTAAATATGATAGCTGTTTTTTACCTTGCTTCCGCTGATGATATGCCTATTTACTTGCTTTTATATGTTGATGACATGCTCCTAATTAGTAAGTCTAAATCCAAGATTAGAGAACTGAAATTAAAGCTGAATTCTGAATTTGACATGAAAGATCTAGGGAGTGCTAAGAAAATTCTAGGAATGACAATAGATAGAAATAGAAGTAGCCATGAATTAAGAATTCACCAATTGTCATACCTGAAAAACCTGGTCATGAAGTATGAAATGGCTGATGCTAAACTCGTGAGCATGCCTTTAGCAAACCATTTCATCTTAAGCAAATTACAATGCCCTAAGATTTATATTGAGATAATTAGGATGGAAAATGTACCCTATTTTAATATTATAGAGTCTGTAATGTATGCCATGATTAAAACTAGACCTGATTTATCATTTGCAATCTCTTTACTTAGTCAATTTATGTCTAATCCTGGTAGTGAATATTGGGCTACTTTGAAATGGTTGTTGAGACATATAAATGGTTCACTACATGTTAGTTTAAACTATTCAAAAGGAAATAATTCACTTGATCTGGTGGGATTTGTAGACTCTGATTTTGCAGGTGATAGGGACACAAGGAAGTCTACAACATCATACTATTTTACCCTTGGAGGAAATTGTGTTAGTTGGGAGTCTCAATTGTAGCCACTTGTAGCACTGTCCACAACAAAAGCTGAATATGTGGCAGTGATTGATGTCTTCAAAGAGGTGCTATGGTTCCAAGGAATCTTGAAGGAAGCCAAGTTAGTAGACAGCATGGCAATTGTGTATTCAGATAGCCAGAGTGCCATCCATTTGAGCAAGAACCCTGTCTACCATGAGAGAACAAAACTTGTGGATGTCAGATTCCATTTTGTGAGGGACCTGATCACAAAAGGAGTGATTGAACTTAAGAAGATTCCAACAACCTTGCTGATATGGGCACCAAAGTAGTGACAGCCACAAAATTCAAGCATTGCTTGGCTTTGTTGAATATAGCATAAGGAGCCTTGTAGAGCTGAGAAGCATACTGATGAAAGGTTCTCTGCACACGTGGACGATATTCCTTAGCAAGTTCTGACTTCAGGGTGGAGATTGTTGATGGTGAAGCTAGAAACGGTGACGTCTTGTGCTTTAACTAATGCACTTATCCAAATGGTGCCGCATTGTTCAACCATCCAAGATCTAAGCCATAATTCTAAAGCTGATCCAACGCCTATTATTAAGCCTCACATCCAGCCATATAAAACAGTCTAAAAATTGGATTTAGACGATAGATCATAAAACACTTTTCTCTCTCCTGTATACGACTTTTGCCATTGTTAGAGCTAAGGTCCTTTGTTATATTTCTCTGTAAAATCTGTTGTGATCAAGTGAGGATTTCTTTGTAAATCATCGTAGAGGGTCTGTTTACTCTCGGGCTAGGGATACCAAGATAGAGTTTCTCCTAGGGTGAAGATTGCAGTTCTGTTTAGATTTACTAAGGGAGTTTGAGCGAAGTGAGGAGTGAGTGAATCTTGATTCTGTTTGTAATTGGATCTGTGGAATCAATTAGTGCAGAGGGCCCCATCAGTTGTGGAGCTCAACATGGACGTAGCCTATTCATTCTTGAATAGGCGAACCACGGTATATTGTGTGTCTGATTTCTTTGTGGTTGCTTGGTTTGATCTTTGTGTTTGACTGATTAGATTTAAAGTAGATTTCTAATTAAAGAATAATAACAATTTCCTAGTGTAGAGATCATATTTGACTCATATCCTATTGGATTCATGCCTCAATTTGTGCACAATACAAAATCCTATCCTTCATTTGAACCAGTACATAGTTCACCATATTTTTCTTCTTCTTTAGGTAATATTTCTTTTTCCTCTCATAATTCTATTCCTTCAACTGATATTATTTCTCAATCTATGCAACCTCTTCCATCAAGAAAATCCACCAGACCCATTAGACGTCCTACATGGCAAAAAGATTATGCTGTAATCACTGACAAGCTTCAAAATGGCAATTTTTCCCGCATTTTCTACCTTTCCATAAGACCAGACCTCAAGTTCTGGTTCAACATGCCTCACAAATTCTCAATTAATTTTCTCTTCCACTCTTCAAGTAATGTCGCCCAAACTTACTAGGGATAACTATTGATTCTAGACTGAATCTGGACTGTCCACCTTAAAGCTCAAAATCTGAAGCTTTTAATCCTTTCCCTTTGACAACAAGTGTTTGTAAGCATGCATGGCTATATTTAGTGGACCAATAGAAAATATATAATTGAATAAAATTAATTTGAATAAAAAAAATCATATGCAGTAGAACTTATGCTTCCATTTGTCCAAGCTTAGACTGGGATATTTTAAAAAAATCATTGCTATACACTTGGAACAACTAATTTTTTAATAATAAGTTGATGGGATATTTATTTATTTATTATTATTATTATTAAGTTTTCATTTTGTGAGGACAGTGGATTGGAGGTGAAGAGGTGTGGAGCCCTCGAATATAAGAGCAAGATCTGAAAGAGTTCAATCCATGTTTCACAATTTTTATTATTAGTGTATCAATATATAAACTATTATAAATAAAAATCTTTTTAGTTGGTCTTTAGTTATTTTTATTTATGAACTTAATAGCAATATATTAAAAGTAAGAAAAAACACGTCCCTAAGATTCTCACTGTGTAACACACGGTTGTCAAAGTCAATAAAGAAAAAGGGCAGACAACTTTTGATAAAGTAGAAAAAAATGGAGAGACTAAGACAAAGAAATCAGTTTATAATTGTAATGAAATTTCCACCAAATTTCTGGTACTTTCTTCGCAATTTTCTTTAAAGAGTGAGTGAAGAAGAGATAAAAATAGGAGAAATCATTCATAGCAAGAAAGTTTTATGGTTTTCCATCGCTTCAACACCTTCATTGATCTTTGCATACCTTCTCCAGAGCAATTCAGATTTGTCTCCATTTGTTATTTGGGTAAGATACTATGACTTTTTATATCTATTATTTTTCTCAGATTTTATTTTTATTTTTATATAATTTTATGAAAGAATTGATGCATCTATGTTTCAAATAAGTTGAATATATAGTAAAAATTAGCATCAAATTTTGTTGAAGATTCTCAATATTTATAGTCTCCAAAGCTGTCCATCTTCAGTTTCTATAGCTCAAGTGTTAGATCTAAACTTCCAAGGCTAATTAAAAGGTTCGTGCCTCCATTGTTCTTGGATCTGTGCTAATTTTAATTTTAATTTTTTGTTTTCTCTCTCCTATAAAGTATTTGTTCATGTGTCCTAAATGCAACTTACTGTAGATCATACTCTTTTCAAATATTATTGGTATATATATTTATCAGTATTTTTCGAAAAATATAAATTTAATTTTACTTTGACGAATAATTTTACAATTCATATCTGGCTTCGGATACTTTCTCTGGAGCAATTACGTCTCACTGCAAAACATTAAGATCTGGATCCATTTGTTAGTTCGGTAACATATATGCTTGGATTTTATATATTCTATTTTTCTTTGATATTATTTTAATTTTATAATTTTATGAACAAGTAGCATCTATCTTTTAAATAAGCTGAGCATGTAGCCAAATCTAGTTGAAGATTTACTGATATTTATACTCTTTTAAAGTTGTTTCCAGTGGCTGGAGTGTCAGATTTGAACTTCCAAGGCTAACTAAAAGGTAAGTAGTGCCTCTATTGTAATTGTAATTGTAATTGTAATTGTAATTGTTATTAATTGTTTATATATCATTTTAAATATATTTTTAGAATTACTAGGAATATTAATGAATTATTTAATAATTATATATTGAATCATAATTTTTTATTTCTCAATTACTTTAATTTATTTTCTAATCAAGCCTTTTTTGATTGACGAAGAATGTCATTAATATTTTGTCTACTTAAACAGAACTGAAAAGCATTTCATCAGTTGATGTCGATGGCTGGTTCTTTGTCTTCCACCAACAATCCTCAAGAGGAGCATGACGTTTTTCTTAGTTTCAGAGGCGAGGACACCCGCAATGGTTTCACTAGCCATCTCTATTTGGCTTTGTGTCGTAAAAAGATTAGTACTTTCATTGATGACCAAATTGTTAGAGGAGATAAAATTTCATCATTTCTTTTGAATACCATTAAAGCGTCAAAGATTTCAGTTATCATTTTCTCAAAAAATTATGCAACTTCTAGATGGTGCCTCCAAGAACTCGAACAAATCCTTCATTGCAAGAAAATAGATGAGCAGATTGTTATACCAGTTTTCTATCACGTAGATCCATCAGATGTAAGGAATCAAACTGGGAGTTTTGGAGATGGATTTGCTGAGCTTGAAAAACATACTAAGCAAAAGTTAGAGATGCTGCAGAGATGGAAGACTGCTTTGAATGAAGTAGGTAGTCTAGCTGGCTGGACTATTAATGATCAAAAGTAAGTTTTAATTCCATAATATTTCGCTTTTTGTAATTCTTTTATGTCTTAAACATTTCCTAACGCTTGAATTGAATGAAACCTAAATCAACATAATTTCTAACTAATTAAAGTTTGTTTTGTTGTTTATATTTAGGTCTGAATCTAAACTTATAGATGAAACTTTGGACGATATTTTGATGAGACTAAATAAATAATCTCCAAGTGATTATACGGACCTGATTGGAATAGAATTTGCCATAAAAAGAATAGAGTCTTTGTTGCACAATGGATCAAGTGGTGTTTCCAAAATAGGAATTTGGGGCATAGGTGGTGTTGGCAAGACAACTATTGCCCGTGTTGTATTCAACAAAATTTTTAGTCATTTTGAAGGATCCTATTTTGTTGAAAATGTTAGGGAAGAGTCGGAGGAAAGTAATGGGTTAACTCACTTGAAAAAAGAACTTCTTTCCACAATATTAGAGGATAGAGATCCCAATATAGGACTTACCTTCACAAGAAAAAGACTTAAAGATAAAAAGGTTCTCATTGTGTTTGATGATGTGACATCTTTACAGCAAATAGAAAATTTGATTGGAAATCTTAATTGGTTGAGTTCAAAAAGTCAAATTATCATAACAACAAAGGATAAACAAGTGTTGAGAAATTGTGGAGTAGATGATGCTTATATATATGAGGTTCAGGGACTAAGGGAGGAGGAAGCTCATCAACTTTTTAATCGGTATGCCTTTAAACAAGACTCTCCTATTGAAGATTATATGGAGCTATCGAACAAAGCAATTTCATATACCAAATGTCTCCCTTTGGCTCTGAAAGTGTTGGGCTCCTATTTGTTTTCCAAGGGAAAAGAATTTTGGGAAAGTGCAATAAAAGAACTAGAAAAAGGTCTTCCTTTGGATATTCATAAGGTATTAAGAGTTAGTTATGATGGACTTGAGAAAGAGAAGGATTTATTTTTAGATATTGCATGTTTCTTCAAAGGGGATCATATAGATTCAGTGATAGAAATCCTAAATGCTTGTGACATTTCTGCAAAGAATGGAATACAAGTTCTTATTGACAAGTGTCTCGTGTTTGTGACATACTACAATAAAATAACAATGCATGATTTGCTTCAAGAAATGGGTAGGGAAATTGCTCGGGATGATAGTTGCAAACACATTCGACTATGTCATCATATGGATATCTTCAAAGCATTTAAAAAAAGAAAGGTAAAGGCTAGTTGTACATATATATAGATAGACAGATAACTTTGAGAGCGAGCTTACATTTTTAAACAAATTTTAAATTAACGTCTGGTTTAAGGATATCTAATAAGAGATCATGGTATCTTTTTTATTATTATTATTTTCATTCTAATAAGTCTTCCACGTACCAGACGCTTGCCAAAAAAGAAAAATGTTTTTTTATTATCAGATTAATGTTTTTATTTTACTATAAGTCAAACTTCTATATTTACATTTTTTTTCCTTTTGTAAATTGTTATTGTCATACAATTAATTTAAATTATTTCCTTTCTTCAATTCAAAGAAAGCTTAAATACATAAAAAAATATTAAAATAATATGCCTTACTTTTGAAGTACATTATCGTAATTGTTATTGTTATTGTTATCCTATTTATTTTAATCTCTACTACTGAAATTCGTTTCTTTATTTGTTTAGTCAACTCAATGTTTCTATTCACTAGAGTATTTGTTGTAATTGATCATAATTTATTTTAATAAAAAAATAAATTTTATATCTTAACTTACGTATGAAGCTTAAATTAATTTGATTAGGTTAACATTGATGGTTACAAACGTTAACTTAATTAATTATTTTTGATTTAATGGAGTATCTTCTCTTGTATCTAACGCTCATCTTTGTTGACTGTTAGGGAACTGAAGCTACGAAGCATAAACTTGGACATTCTAAATAAGCAATGCAGGCTTAAATTGTCATGTTTTGTCAAAGATGGATAACTTAAGATTCTTCAGAGTATACAACTCAAAATACGAAGATGGCTATGAAGACTGGCAAGACCAAGATAATCTGAAGCTAAGTTGGTGGTTTTGAAGAACTTGAATCCTTTCCCGATGACATTACATTCTTTGGTTGGAATAATTACCCATTTAAATCGTTGCCATTAAGTTTTCCTTCAGAGAGTCTTGTTAAACTTGTTATGCAAAACAACAAAGTTAAACATTGGAACGGTTTTCAGGTGTATATATTTTGGTATTTATACTGTTGTCTTTCTGTTGAAAATTATAAAAATACAAGGTACTAAATGATTTGGTCATTTTGTTTGTTTTCTTACGAATCTTGTAAATTTGAAATATGTGATCTCAGTTTCTCCGAGCACATGACAGAGATTCCAAACTCTCAAGAGCCTCAATCTTCAGTATTTGATTTTAATATTTTGTTCGTCGCTTGAGAGTCCCTCAAGCAACATCTGTAATGTAAAATATCTCAAACACTTATCTTTTCGGCTGCATCAAATTGGAGAATTACCGTGACTTTGGAGATTAGAAGCTTTGGAGATCTCAATACTGGAGAAACAATCATAAAGAAGTACCTCATCCATTTACACTTGCCAAAACTTCGTAGATTACAACTATGTCGAGATGAACCGGCACCCTTGAATTGGTGTTGAATTCTTTGTCAGTTCAAACTCTTGGTATCTCTTAATTTGTCAAACTGTCAAATGACCAAATTACCTGACAATCTTGGACATTATTCTTTCTAGAAAACTTATTTCTACGTGAAAATAATTTTGAGAGCATACCAGAACATCAAAAGGCTTTCTAAATTGAGATTGCTAGACATAAGTATGTCGGAGACTTCACTTTTGCCAGAGTTTCCAATGGGTGTAATGTGATAGCATTTGACGCTCATCCTTGAATCAATATCAGATCCATCATTTCTATTGTTACCTCATTGAGACGACGGGAAACTTTTGCCAATTGTTTTAAATTGGATTTATGTAAAACTCTTCATAAGGTATCTCTTTTTATCCTTTCTCCCTTTTTATATGTTATTTGTTTTTAAAAGTCAATATTATGTATATATATATAAAGCTAAACTATGTTATAATATTAGATGTAGTGTATATTTTCATTTCATTGGTACAGGAATCTTGTCGAGAATTTGGTGCTAGTATCTGTTTCCCTGGAGATGAAATTCTTAAGTGGTTTACCTTTCAAAATACGGGACCTTATAAACTCTCGATTAGTCACTAGATTGGCATAATAAAAACTTTCTAGGTTTTCTTGCATCTTTGTTGTTTCTCCAAATAAGGACAATCTGGTTCCTTCTTACATTGTTACCTGTTATTGCTTGGTGAAAAGTGAAAATGGTAAGGAGCAATTTAAGAATTAGAACTAGAACTAGATTTCCTATGTTTGCGCATATCTAGTCAGATCATGATTATTCGGTTTCATCTATACGAAATTGGTGTTTAAAGAGTGTCAATATTATTGGCAACATGATAGAATTCGTCATAAATGATGTCATCAAATTGTAAAGTGCTCATCAAATTTATGCTAAAGGGCAGAGGTGAAAAAGTGGGGGATTCATTTCTTATATGTTGAAGATTATGGAAACCATTGGAAACATTCAGAAGAAGTGTGACAGTGCTAAAAAGAAAGGCATGAGAAAGAGAAAGATGAACTGCAATCTATAAATTCCAAATTTCAAATCCGTTTGATGGTATATGCAACTTAAGGTAAATAATAAAGAGTTATTTTCAGCTCATAATGTTTTTCGATTCTTTTAATTTATTTTGTCTAATAAAAGTAATTATATGTATCTTAAGTAGTACTAAATCTCTCATCTCATGTGGTACATAATTTTTAATGACATTCTGATCCTTAACAAATCAAATTTTATATCAAATTTCATGTAAATGTTGTTAACAAGCCCCGTTTCATGTCAAATTGTCCATGTGATCTAAAGTGTCTAGAAGCACGGTATTGGAAATTGAAAAGGAATGCACTCGATAAATGTGGAAAAATGCTCTACTAAATTCTCCACAAAATACAATTTTACGCTCACAAATGAAGAGCCTCTCTCTATTATCACAGAAAGTCAATTTTTATTTTTTATTTTTTGTTGAATAAAAATTTGATGTTAAATTAACAATGTTATATTTTCTTATTGCAGATGAACTGTGTGAATCCAAAGGTTGTATAGTTTCCCAGGAATGTGAAATTCTAGAGTGGTTTAGCTTTCAAAATGCTAATTATTAATAAAACTACCACCGGCCTATTCTATTATAATTTGCCGGTTTGGCTACTGCACGTTGTAGAATTCCCAATTTGTTAGATTTGGGCCAACCTTCCTTCGTTAACTGTGAGTTGCATTTCGAAGAAAATGATGGTGTCTACAAGTCTTTTGTAATTGGGTCTATACAAGGTTAGTTTGAAGGAGATAGAACTCTCTACATCAAATCAGATCATGTTTTCTTGGGATATGATTGTGTTTGTATACTGGTGGAGATTTTGTTTTAGGTCCGATCGAAAACATTCTCGTGATAAGGCCATCATCAATTTCAATGTACCACTTATGATGAAATATCCATAGAAGGTTGTAAGGTGAAAAGTGTAGAGTTCGTTTATTGTACCCTCAAGATTTTGAGAACAAATGGAGAATCCAATAGATCTTTCATCTTTAAAGAGAAGGCAAAACTCAATGGAATGATCGTTTTATGATGACCCACCATCCTTTGGCCTTTCCGCTGCACGTGATTGGCAATCTAGGATTTCTGCTACTTTCTCTGATTTGAATGAAATGGTTGGATCAACGTGATCGATATACTGAATCACACTCGAGAGATTGAAACTATGCAACTAAAAAATAAGTAGCTTTCTTTTCTACACCTATTTTTAATTATATGATTTGTTTTTATTTTCCTAATCATTTTTCTGAAACTCTTGTTCACCTAATGGAATAGAAATATAGGGTTTTCACTTTCTTTTCGGGTGCAAAAGTTTGATATAAAGAAATATAATTGTTGTTAATTCATGGGCACATGAATACATCACCAGATGATTTAGAGTTAAGTGGCCAGGAAACTTCTAGAAAACTGGGAAAGTAAAGTATTAACTAAATGCTTTTTGGACAAAAATTAGAACTATTACTAACCGTTACTATGCTTAAAATATTATGAAGTTCAATTCAATATATAAAATGCACTCATCTAGGAATAGTAGAGCTGATTATGATCATTATGTTTTGCACTAACTTAAAGTTAAATTCAAATAATTTTCACTAACTTTAATATGCATGTAACTTTTTGTAATGCTTATTTTAAATATAATCAATTTATTTCTTTGAATTGCATTGATTTATTTCATATATTAATTATTTGATCATGCTGTTTGATCTGGTTTTGTGTATCAATAATTGGATGTCGAAGGTATGAGGATGAAAAGAAGTGGAAGAGTTGAATCCAAGTACAAGTCAACCCACTGGCTTTGCTCTTTTTGATTTGAATGAGTTCCCTATAGATGATGATGATGAACCGCAACCTAAAAGACTTAAGAATTCTAATTCTTTTAAGGGTAAGGAAGTTCAAATCTCTATTTCTAATCTATTTCTATCTAATCATTTTTGCTCTCAATTTCTTGTCTATTTTAGTCTTTTAGATTGACTACAATCAAGATGTACCATAAAATATTAGTAGAAGCTGAATGATATTTTAGAGAGAAGAATATACGTATCATATAATAATAAGATTCACTCGCAAGGGCAAAGTTCCCAAATGTTGGTAAACATTGCTATATAATAGGAAGAACCTGTAATTGTATGAAAAAATTCTAGTCTAATATAGTTTAATTAATTATAAAATATCACATTAATTGGTGTTTTGTCAAAGAGCCCCATTCTCTAGGTCAATTGCAGCAAACAGGGAGTTAACCAAAACTAATTGATTTCTCTAAACACAGTGCTTGTATCCAAAGATGCATGTTGAAACAGCTAAGCGAAGCCATTACTCCCATGATGATGAGGAACCACTGCATGAAAGATTTAAGAAACTCAAGCTCTCTTGAATTGCAAATCAAGTCTTTCGCCCTTTTGACTATATGGTATGTTTCCTCAATTCAATCCCTACCATAATTCTATTTAATTTTTCATTTTATTTTTTTTTAAGAATTTTTCCTATTATATCAAATTATTGACAGTAAAACATTTTGAGATTAACACACTCTCTTACTATATATCATCTAAACTCACAGCAGATTGCAGATTTGATTATAAAACCATTGGTTATTGTTTAGTTCAAGCCTTTTGTCTTCGTTTAGCTCAAAGGACAATGACAAGCTCACCAAGCCCTTAAGTCTTGTTTAGCTTGGTTTTTGTTGAAGAATTCAATGTAGAAGCAGTTCAGACTTTCAGTTTATAATTAAAACTGCAATTTTCAAGTCTCAGATTGTGTTAGTGACATTGATGCCCTTTTCCATTGGAAATTTTTTATTTGAACAGGGGGAGAAGCTTCTACCATGCCGTCTTGTACAAAATAAGAATGAGCAGAAAAGCTAAAATCAATGAAAAAAATCAAGGATACAAGGCATGACCCCTTTTTAAAACTGCCTATCAATTACAAGTTGGCATTTCTTTGATGTAACGGAAGGGGATATATATATATATATATATTCTCGGAGAAATGTGTAGACTCATTGCAATGCTAATATTTACTAGGTCAACAAAGCTCCAAAAAATTAGCACCGAAAATGTGTACCGGCCTATGTGTACGCGTGACTCGAATTTTTTATGAATATTTTTCTAATGAACGGCGGTCCATCAAATATGGACAGTCGTTCACTTACATGGACTCCCGTCCATTTTATATGGACGGGGGTCCATTTGCTACGGACGGGCGTCCTCATTTAAAAGACGTTCGTCCATAAATAAAATACAATAAAAAAATTTTATAAACAACAATTTGTGGACGGCCGTCCCTTCATTTTGGACGAGTGTCCGCAAATAAGGGACGCATGTCCTTAACCAAAATATGAAAATAAAAAAAATAAAAAAAAAACTTTGGGGACGCCCGTCCCTTACGTTTGGACGGGCGTCCATTAGTCCATTAGGAATGGACGTCCGTCCATACTTTAAAAAAAAAAAAAAAAAAAAANAGTGTCTGGCAAGCTTAGAGGAGGCAGAGAGTAATGACTGTAAGTAGAGCTTCCACTTCTCATCTCTTGCATGTTCAGTAATGCTGCAACAGTATTCCTAAACATACCTTATACCGGAAATTGTTATTCTGGATTCCTAGTACTTGGAGCGAGCTTCCAAGAATGCAGAACTTTCAATAATATTTTTCCAAAGTTGACAGACACTCTTATAGGAAGCGAGCTTCGTAACGGTTACTATCTGCATTACTCTTAAAATAACATTGGACAAGAAAAAAGAGAGGAGATGGGGAATGAAGACGAAGAAAAAGAGAGGAGATGAGGAATGAAGATGAAGAAGAAAAGCAAAGAAGAAGAGGTAGTTTAGATTTTTTTTTTTTTTTTTTTTTTTAAAGTACGGACTAATGGACGCCCGTCCAAACGTAAGGGATGACAGTCCAAAATTTATGGACGGCTATCCCCAAAGTTTTATTTTTTTTTTATTTTTATATTTTGGTTAAGGACGGACGTCCCTTATTTGCGGACGCCTGTCTAAAATGAAGGGACGGTCGTCCACAATTGGTGGACAGCCGTCCCTAATGTTTATATAATTTTTTTATTGTATTTTATTTATGGACAGGCGTCCATTAATTGGGGACGCCCGTCCGTAGCAAATGGACCCCCGTCCATATAAAATGGACGGGAGTCCATGTGAGTGAACGGTCGTCCATATTTGATGGACAGTCGTTCACTAGAAAAATATTCATAAAAAATTTGAGTCACGCGTACACGTAGGCCGGTACACATTTTCGGTGCAAATTTTTCGGTGTTCGTAGCTTTTTTGTTACTAGGTTAGTATGTACCTACAAATGTGCATAATTTGTCTACCACCCACTTGCAGAATCAAACCTGTAGTTCCCAAAGGATAATCGGGGGTGTTTGGACTAGTTTGCATTTACCTCAACTAATCTCTTGGGGCTTGAAGTTGACAGTTGGGTAAATCCCTTTAGTAGTTACCCATATTAGCAACACAAGTTGATCGAATTAAGGACCTCTTGAGTAATACACCCAAGAGTTCTAGTTGATCGTTGGATCACCTAGTGGCAATTCCAAAGCAAATATCATATAAACATACACTTGTGTGTGATCTGATCATTAACTATTGAAGAGTATACATATAAATGAAGAGAGGGAGATAGCTCCACCACCAAAAACCTCTGTACCCTCGCTTCTAAGTTCTATGTTTCTTTCCGTTTGTTGATTGTGAATGGTCTAGACTCCACTTGTGTTTGCTGCAATGAATGGGTTCCAAAGTTAGTTTCTTTTCTGCAATTGATCTATTATTTTNTCCATAATGTTTTTCGATTCTTTTAATTTATTTTGTCTAATAAAAAGTAATTATATGTATCTTAAGTAGTACTAAATCTTCTCATCTCATGTGGTACATAATTTTATATGACATTCTGAAGTCACTTAACAAATCAAATTTTATATCAAATTTCATGTAAAATGTTGTTAACAAGCCTCGTTTCATGTCAAATTGTCCATGTGATCTAAAGTGTCTAGAAGCACGGTATTGGAAATTGAAAAGGAATGCACTCAGATAAATTGTGAAAAATGCTCTACTAAATTCTCCACAAAATACAATTTTACGCTCACAAATTGAAGAGGTCTCTCTCTCTTATCATAGAAAGTCAATTTTTATTTTTTATTTTTTGTTGAATAAAAAATTTGATGTTAAATTAACAATGTTATATTTTCTTATTGCAGATGAACTGTGTGAATCCAAAAGGTTGTATGAGTTTCCCAGGAAGTGAAATTCTAGAGTGGTTTAGCTTTCAAAATGCTAATTATTATATAAAACTACCACCGGGCTCATTCTATTATGAATTTGCCGGTTTGGCTATCTGCAGCGTTGTAGAATTCCCAAATTTGTTAGATTTGGGCCAACCTTTCTTCGTTAACTGTGAGTTGCATTTCGAAGAAAATGATGGTGTCTACAAGTCTTTTGTAATTGGGTCTATACAAGGTTAGTTTGAAGGAGATAGAACTCTCTACATCAAATCAGATCATGTGTTCTTGGGATATGATTGTGTTATGTATACTGGTGGAGATTTTGTTTTAGGTCCGGATCGAAAACATTCTAGTGATAAGGCCATCATCAATTTCAATGTTACCACTTATGATGAAATATCCATAGAAGGTTGTAAGGTGAAAAAGTGTAGAGTTCGTTTATTGTACCCTCAAGATTTTGAGAACAAATGGAAGAATCCAATAGATCTTTCATCTTTAAAGAGAAGGCTAAAACTCAATGGAAATGATCGTTTTAATGATGAACCACCATCCTTTGGCCTTTCTGTTGCACATGATTGGCAATCTAGGAGTTCTGCTACTTCTCTGGACTTGAATGAAATGGTTGGATTAACCGTGATTGATACAACTGAATCACACCCTAAGAGATTGAAAATATACGACTACAAAAACAAGTAAGTTTTCCTTCTACACCTAATTTTAATTATATGATTAGTTTTTATTTTCCTAATTCATTTTTCTGGAAACTCTTGTTAGCTAATGGACTAGAAATATAAAAGTTTTCACTTTCTTTTCAGATGCAAAAGTTTAATATAAAGAAATATATATTGTTGTTAAATTCATTGGGCACATGAACACATCACAAGATGATTTAAGAGTAAAGTGGGCACGGAAACTTCTAGAAAACTTCTAAAAATATATCTTTTGCAGTAACTTAAAGTTCAATTCAAATAATTTTCACTAACTTTAATATGCATGTAACTGTTTTTTAATTGCTTATTTTAAAATATAGAATCAAATTGATTTCTTTGAATTGCATTGATTTATTTCATATATTAATTATTTGATCACGATGTTTGATCTGGTTTTGTTGTATCAATAATTGTGATGTCAAAAGGTATGAGGATGAAAAAGAAGTGGAAGAGTTGAATCCAAGTACAAGTCAACCCACTGGCTTTGCTCTTTTAGACTTGAATGAGTTCGCTATCGATGATGATGAGGATGATGATGACGACGGTGATGACAACGACGACGATGATGATGATGATGATGATGATGATGATGATGAACCGCAACCTAAAAGACTTAAAGAATTCTAATTCTTTTAAAGGGTAAGGAAGTTCAAATCTCTATTTCTATCTAATTAATTTTGCTCTCAATTTCTTGTCTATTTTAGTCTTTTAGATTGACTACAATCAAGATGCACCATAAAATAATTATGTAGAAGCTGAATGATATTTTAGAGAGAAGAATAATACATATCAATATAATAATAAGATTCACTCGCAAGGGCAGAAATTCCCAAATGTTCGTAAACATTGCTATATTAATAGGAAGCTGTAATTATTTCATGAAAAAATTATAGTCTAATATAGTTTAATTAATTATAAAAATTATCACATTAATTGGTGGTTTATCAAAGAGCCCCATTCTCTAGATCAATTGCAGTAAACAGGGAGTTAATCAAAACTAATTGATTTCTCTAAAACACAGTGCTTGTATCCAAAGATGCATGTTGAAACAGCTAAGCGAAGCCATGACTCCCATGATGATGAGGAACCACTACATGAAAGATTTAAGAAACTCAAGCTCTCTTGACTTGCAAATCAAGTCTTTCGCCCTTTGACTATATGGTATGTTTGCTCAATTCAATCCCTGCCATAATATATTCTATTTAATTTTTCCTTTTTAGAATTTTTCCTATTATATCAAATTATTGACAGTAAAACATATTGAGATTAACAGACACTCTCTCACTATATATCATCTAAATTCACAGTAGGTTGCAGATTTGATTATAAAACCATTGGTTATTGTTCAGTTCAAGCCTTTTGTCTTCGTTTAGCTCAAAGGAGAATGACAAGCTCATCAAGCCCTTAAGTCTTGTTTAGCTTGGTTTTTGTTGAAGAATTCAATGTAGAATCAATTCAGACTTTCAGTTTATGCTCTTTTCCAGATTGTGTTAGTGACATTGATGTCCTTTTCCATTGGAAATTTTTTATTTGAACAGGGGGAGAAGCTTCTCCCATGCCGTTTTGTACAAAATAAGAATGAGAAGAAAAGCTAAAATCAATGAAATGAATGAAGGATACAAGGCATGACCCCTTTCTATTCTTTGAGTCCTCCCTTTCTCTCAAGCTCTACCTATCTTGATACGTATCACCTTGCATCGGTTGTTTTAACATATAGCGTTTATCCATTTTTGCTATCTCTTAGGGTGAAATGTAAAGTTTGACAGGAATTCTTTCCATTAACTTCCATGGTTCGCTTTCAGATAGACCTTGTCTCAAAATAAATGTGTAAAGAAAGAAAGTTCAGTATATAACTTACTATCCTATTGTCTCCATTCTAAACCATACACTGATTCCTGATCTGCCTGTTTGATCCTTATCTCCCCTTAGTTTTTATTCTTCCGATGTAGGGCATTTCAAACTTAACTTGTTTACCATCAATTTCGATCACTTCTTCAGTAGCAGCAAACCTGTATTGCATCAAGTTAATTCACAGGAAAAATAATAAATTGTCCCTAGCAGGTGGGTTTTTAACTTTTTCATTACAAGATCCATCGTTTGGAGTCCAATTATATTTTCATATCCTCGTCTCCTGTATGAGCCAAGAAAAATTAGTAGTATCGCCCAAAACAAGAGGAAAAGTAGTCTGAATGTATAAAAATGATCATCATTACCCAATTACAACAGTAACGTTGGCAGAAACATCGGGCAATCCTTTAGACTGGTATGAATTGGTGTTCAATGCAGACTCGAGCAAGCAAAAGGAGGTAAGACGAAGCTAACGCCTTTTAAGCCTAAAAGAGCCCATGCAAACATGTCCCAAGAGGATAAATGCGAGGTTAAAGCAAAGATGAATTCCACATGACCTCATGCATTGAAAACGTACTTACATTTATAAACTCTGGTTCGCCTCTTTCATGTCAATCATGCAAAAAAGAAAATTAAATAAGAAACCATCCATCCTCCATCAGGTCTAGCTGTGACCTCACAACATGAAATAGCAAAAGATTTTATTCAGCGTTCAAAAAAAATAAAAAAATCCATATGATCTCATGCAATGAAAACATATTTGCATCTAAAAATCTGGTTGTCCTCTCGCATGTTAATCATTAAAAAAAAACCTTTACTGCATTGAGAAAATGATAACAGAATCTTATACTTCAGAAACGAAAGAACATGGTTTGGGTAGTAGAATAATATTATTCTAAGAAAGAAAAAAACCCAAACATTTCCAACCAAGCCAAGGGTAGATAAATCACGACATGTGAAATTTGAAGCATCAAATTCATTCCTTACCAACAGTACTCTACCTACAACCTGCAGTAGTAAAGAAAGTTACACGATTTTCCAATTACAAAATAACATTAATAACAACAATAATAATAATAATAAAGGTAAATAGACCAATTGACAACTCTTTGGACACAGATCAAATTAAAAAATTGTTAAGAAATCAAGACAATATTAATTTCAATATCGGTTGATATAGAAATTTGCACCAACCAGAGAGATCTGATCGATCTTGTCGGGATCGAAACTGATATGTGCGTGATTAAATATAATCAACAATGTATGTAAAAATGCAATAAAGTAAAGACAATGAGAGTTTTAAAGTGGTTCGGCGAGGTTAACTCTGAAGCCTACATCCACTGTTTTAGTATTTACTGTGAGACCTTACAATGTAGTTCCTATGTGAAATTCGTAATCACTTCCTCATCATTTGAGGGGGTTTATATACAAGATTTGTACAAAGGAAAGAGCGAAATTAAGCAGATTACAATTGATCTGAATCGCAATTTTGATATTCTCACGATTAGGCGTTGTGATTACGCAGTGATCGCTGTTGATCTAGTCATTCCTACAATATCTGGGATCTAAAGTAATCTGGAGATTGATTGAATGATTGTTCTGATTGCTCGCGATTAGCTTATACTGGGTTGAGCTATAGCTTGACAAGCTTATGCTGGGTCGATCAATCATCGTTGTCGAGCTAGTTCTGGGTCAGGTTATATCCTCGCAAAGGCCTGAGCTTGATGGATCACACACAACAATATCTAACATATCAATTAAATTAGCTTGTCAAAAAATCTATACCAAACCTAGAAAATTAATGTATGTTAAATGAAAAACTACACAACTAAAAATACCAAAGTGTCCAATGATTCCAAAATTTATCAAGAAGTGCAAACTCCAGAAGAACTTGACATAAAAGGCAAGTACAATTCACAAGTTTCAAATTTGAACACTGAAAAACAGTATAAGACTTAAGAGTATAGAGACAAAAGAAGAGAATTATAAATATTAAATTTTAATCTTAATTGGCGTGAATAATAAGCTATTTCAGAAAACCCAATCCTTAATAAAAATTCTAACTTTCTTTTCACAAAAAAATAAGGATAACTAATCTAAACCCTCAACATTTGAAATAATTTTAGATGTGCCATGTGGTTTTATAAATATCACAAAAGCCATCCCTAAATATCAGGGGTTACATGGTAATTGTAAAAAAAAATCGGATGATGAGGTTGAATGGGATCATGAATCTCCAATTCCCCGCTCTTATATCCCAACCTGTTTTTATTGGATAAATAGATGAAACCTTGGAAGAAACCGTAAATAAAACAAAAACAACAAATGAAATGAGTAAACTAGAATATTTGTAAACAACAAAGAAATTAATGAAAATAAAGATGTATGATATTTTTTTTATCAACCATTTACTTTAAATATTTGTAAACCAGAATCAAAGTTGAGATAGTTGTATTATTTGTATTCTTGTATTTATAACGGAGATGTAATTGTTAACGTTAATTCTTAATCCTAATTTCTAAGTTTGTATTTATAATTTATAATTAATAAAAAATGTTGAAATTTAATTAATATTTCACTTCTCTCATTATTTTATTATATTTCACAGTAATTATATTTTTTTTATTAATACGATACAAAATGTCACCAAATATAACATATAATATATTTTTATAAGAGTAATACTAGCCTTACAAAGAGGCATACAAAAAGACAAATCAAATCCTTGAAATTCATGATTGCCTCTCTCTCTCTCTCTCTCTCTCTCTCTCTCTCTTTTTTTCCTTCTTTCAAGGGATGAATTTGTCTCTTTGTATACCTCTTTGTATGGCTCTTTGTAAGGCTAGTATTACTCTCTTTATAATTATTATTAATAATAAATCAAAATTACCATAATTTATAAATATTAAAAAAAATTGTAGGCCGACCCACGTGGTAGGTCCATGGCATAGCCCGCGACATGACATGTTGTATAGCGGGCCATGCCGTGGGCCTTCAGACTGTCGGCCGACACGACAAGGCACGAATTTTTACAGACCTTAGCAAGACATAAGCCTTGAATTTTTAGGCACGACACGGCTCACCGCCGACTTTAATTTTAACTGCCACATATATCCTTAATAGGGTTCCAACATCTCTTCTTCAAAATAAATATGAAATGCTTTTTCATAAAACACCAAATTTGACAAAAATGAGAGTGTTTGGATGCCTTTGTTATGCTACCATTTTGCCTAAATCAGATAAGTTTAGTCCAAGAGTTTTACATTGCATTTTTTTGGGGTATCCTACTTTTCAAAAGGGATATAAATTGTTGAATAATACTTTGAGTACTAATGAATGGGTACTAATCTGTGTACTAACTAAAGTATAGTACGGGTACTATACGCATAGTATGGGTACTATGCTTTAGTTAGTACACAGATTAGTACCCATCCGTTAGTACCCATAGCATCACTCTAAATTGTTTGATATTACTAAAAATAATTTTTTTGTTAGCAGAGATGTTGAATTTTTTGAACACATTTTTCCATATTCTGATGCCAAACTATATACAGAGTATACAACTTTATTTATGCTGATGGTGAAGCCAGAAACGGTGACGTCTTGTGCTTCAACTAATGCACTTATCCAAACGGTGCCGCATTGTTCAACCATCCAAGATCTAAGCCATATATTCTAAAGCTGATCCAACGCCTATTATTAAGCCTCACATCCAACCATATAAAACAGTCTAAAAATTGGGTTTAGAGGATAGATCACAAAACACTTTTCTCTCTCCTGTATATGACTTGGACATTTAGGCTAAGGTTCTTTGGTATATTTATTTGTGTAAAATATGTTGTGATCAAGTGAGGATTTCTTGTAATCACTCCTAGAGGGGTTCTGTTTTACTCTCGAGCTAGGGATACCCAGATAGAGTTTAGGGTAAGATTGCAGTCTGTTTACGATTTACTGACGGGAGTTTGAGCGAATTGAGGATTGTGAGGATGTGAGTGAATCTGATTGTGTTCTGAATGGATATGTGGATCATTAGTGCAGAGAGCCTATAGTGTTATAGAGCTCAACGTGGAAGTTTTAGCCTATGCATTTGAATAGTGAACCATGGGTATATGTGTGTGTCTGATTTCTTGTGGTGCTTGGTGTGATCTTTGTGTCTACTGATTAGATTTTAAAGCAGTAGATTTTTATAAAGAATAATAACGAGGTATTAGAGGCCTTATTCTAAGGTGTTTTGTGGCGATCAAAGTGATTTTGTTGGCAATTTAGGGTGTCGAGTAGAAACATTGGGGTTCTTGATCTTTGTGTTCCTTACGTACTTAAGGATATAGATTTAATTGAAGTCAAGATTCTTCAATTAGTGGTTCTCTTGAAAATTTTTTTTTCTAGGGTTTGCGAAATCTGTTTTGGGGATTCTTAATCTGTTCTATTCCTAGATAATCTAGGGTCTATATTTCATTTCCCCAAATACCGCCATCAATTCCCAAACTAACAACCATGAGTATTAATACACAATGGAGATTTCCCAAATGATTGGTGATAAACGATTTCTAGTAGTTGGAAAAAGAGAGATGAAAGCACCTGTTGTCCATAACAAAGTTTTGCGATTTGCCTAGAAAAGGTGTACAAGTGGCCAAAGGAAAAATGTAGAAAAAAGGCTAACGTGATGCGAAGTGCACAACCTATCGTGATGAACCTGTCTGACAACGTGCATGAGAAAGGTAGACGAACATAAAATACACCTCTCCACCTTATGGGGTAAAACGGCAAAAACACTTCCATTCCGTTGGACTCCAAACCTAGTTTTCGTAAAGGGTGCAGGTTTTCTTACAAATAGATA